GAGCTGGCATTTCCAACCTTGCCAGGGCCTGTCGGCACCTGCGCCGCGACGCCATGCAGGTGCTGCTCGGGCGGAGATCCGAGCGACGCAACATGACAACCCCCCGAAGTTGCAAAACGCCCGAAACGGCGATGAATAGTGGGGAACCACCTCAACAGTGGCGGGCATGAACCCACGCCGAAATGATGGCCAAGGACACGTAGATGGAAGGCCTGTGAGAGACGGTTTCGCTTCGTGAGACATGAGGCTAAACAGTCGTTCTTGGCGATATAACAATCGCGGCTCCAGGGTCGATACTGGCATTCATTAGACCGTTTAGAGCGATCCATGGCTGACGTCTTTGGTGTGATCCCAAACGCCCCATGAATATTGTGCAAACAAACGGCTGCATTCCGAACAGCGCCATCACAAACCAGAAGTGTCAGCTCAGCAGCAACTGGTTTCTAAACATAGTAGCTTAGCAAGACTACCTCTGCTTGGTAGGCTGCAAAGTGGTTGCAGGCTCAGTTGACACGGGGTTCTGCACACGGGCTAATGCGTAGCGAAGCACAGGGCCAGCCGCACGGTTTCGGTATGTTTGCGTGCGACGTCGAGGCTTGCGCACCATGCTGTCAGCGGCAGCGTCTACACTCGCAGAGACGGACGCCTGATGTGGCCAAAGGAGTCAAAGTAGGCGCAGCCTCTGGTCCATCTAGCGGCTGCATTGTCACACTGTCCCCAAGCTCACTTGAGTGAACTTCCGGCTGCAGCCGGGGGCAGCTCATCCAGCCGTTCTTCAGATCGCAAAGCAAAGTTATGGCCAAGTGACAACAGGATGCCAGAAGCTTGATTCCCTGGCGCATGTCCAAGTGCTCACCTGCTCTTGCGACTTGTCCTTGTTCCTGTCGGAAATTTGAGTGGCTATGCAACAGGTTTGAATCATTGTTCATCATGCCTGTATTTTGATTTTCTCTTCAGCAACACCCTTGACTCAAGAGTGCAGTCAGAATGCCAAGAGCGTCAGCTTAGCAGCAACTAGCTTCAAAACATAGGAACTTTGCAAGACTACTTGTTCGTTTCAGGTTGCAAAGTGGTCGCAGGCTCAGTTGACACGGGGTTCTGCACCAAGGCTGCTGCGTGTCGAAGCACAGGGCCAGCCGCACAGTTTCGGCATGTTTGCGTGCGATGTTGAGGCCTGCGCACCATGCTGTCAGCGGCAGCGTCTACACTTCGCAGAGACGGACGCCTGATGTGGCCAAAGGAGTCAAAGTAGGCGCAGTCCATCTAGCGGCTGCATTGTCACACTGTCCCTGAGCTCACTTGAGTGAACTGGTGGCTGCTGGGGGCGAATATTCCTGAATGACGGAATTGCAAAGCAAGCCACGGCCAAGTCACAACAACCACATGCAAAAAGCTTGAGTCTTTAACGCCTTTCCAAGTTCTCGGCTGGGCTTATGCCGTGTCCTTGCTCCTGTCTGACGTTTGAGCCGCTACGCAGGAAGTTTCAGTTCTTGTTCATCATGCCTGTATTTCAAGTTTCTCTTCGGCAACACCTTTGACTCAAGAGCGCAGTCAGAATGCCGAGAGCGTCAGCTTAGCAGCAACTTGCTTCATCACATACTGACTTAGCAAGACTACCGCTACTTGGCAGGTTGCAAAGTGGTTGCAGGCTCAGTTGACACGGGGTTCTGCGCACAGGCTAATGCGTAGCGAAGCACAGGGCCAGCCGCACGGTTTCGGCATTTTTGCGTGCGACGTCGAGACCTGAGCCCCATGCTGTTAGCGGCAGCGTCTAAACTTCGCAGTGACGGAACCTTAATGTGGCCAAAGGAGACAGAGCAGGCGTCTGGTCCATCTAGCGGCTGCATTGTCACACGGTCCCCAAACTTACTTGAGTGAACTGCTTGATTCTGAACGACCGGAGTCGCAAAGCCATGGCCAAGTGACAAAACGATGCCGCAAGATTGAAGCTCTGACGCATGTCCAAGTGCTCACCTAGGCGCATGACCCCCTATCTTCATTTGAGAGCTGTGCACCTACATCGGAGTAGTCAAGTTTGTGGGTTTCAATTCCGCACACCTCTGTTTCGGAGACACCTTTGACTCCAAGCGCAGTCAGAAGGCCAAACGTATCAGCTCAGAACAATCATAGCAAGCAATTCGCCAGACTAGCGCTTGGCAGGTTGCAAAGTGGCCAGTGACACGGGGTTATGCGCAAGGGCTGCTTCGCAGGATAGCACAAGTCGCCCAGCAGCACTCTGCGTGCGTGGCTTCAAGGCCCGCGAGGCGTTGGGGCGGTCAGCAGCGGCGTCTGCACGTTGCGGTGACGCACGCTTGATGTCATGCTATATAGGTGCAATCTTTCCTCCAGCCGGACGGCGCATAGTCGCTCTGTAGTCATCCTGAAAGACTGGAGTCATAAAGCAAAGCTGGGGTCCAGCGACCCCGGTGCAGCTCTGCGTATATGTAGGCCCGCGCTCGCCTCGTTGCAGGTGACGTTGGGTGATGTGCAAGGGCTGGCGCGAAGTGAAGCACAGATCCTTGCGCGCGATTTCGAGGACTGCGCGGCGTTTGGGTGGGCGGCGGCGTCAATACTTCACGAAGTGCGCCTATGGCCAAAGTGGTCCACGGAGGCGCAGTCTCTGCTCCATCCGGAGGGCTCATTGTCACACTGTCACACTGAGCCCACTTGACTAAACAGCTGGCTGCAACCGGAGGCAAATTTTCCGGAAGGGCCGGAGTCGCAAAGCAAGTACCGCAGGATGCTGCTGGCCTGAATCTCTGCACACATTCAAGCACGCAGCTGGCCTCATGGCCTTTCCTGGTTCCTGCTTGAATTTTCGGCCCCTACACCGGAGTGTTTGATTTTGTAGGCTTCAATTTCGTAGGCTTCAAATATTTTTCATTACGCCTGTATTTCGAGTTTCTCTTCGGCAACTTTGACTCAAGAGTACAGTCAGAATGCCAAGAGCGTCAGCTTAGCAGCAACTAGCTTCAAAGCATAGTAACTTAGCAAGACTACTTTTTCGTGGCAGGTTGCAAAGTGGTTGCAGGCTCAGTTGACACGGGGTTCTGCACACAGGCAGCTGCATGTCCAAGCAAAGGGCCAGCCGTACGGTTTCGGCATGTTTGCGTGCGATGTCGAGGCCTGCGCGCCATGCTGTCAGCGGCGGAGTCTACACTTCTCAGTGACAGACTTTTGATGTGGCCAAAAGAGTCAAAGTAGGCGCAGTCTCTGCCCCATCTAGCGGCTGCATTGTCACACTGTCACCGAGTGAACTGCTGGCTGCAGCCGGGGCCGAATTTTCCTCAATGATCGGAATCGCAAAGCAAAGCCACGGCCCAGTTACAACAGGCTGCCTCAGGTTTGAAACTCTGGCGCATGTCCAAGTGCTCAGCTGTGCTTATGACGTCTCCTTGTTCCTGTCTGAAATTTGAGCCGCTATGCAGGAGGTTTCAATTCTTGTTCATCACGCCTGTATTTCGAGTTTCTCTTTGGCAACACCTTTGACTCCAGAGTGCTGTCAGATTGCCAAGAGGGTCAGCTGAGCAGCAACTAGCTTCAAAACATAGTGACTTAGCAAGACCACTTTTTCGTGGCAGGTTGCAAAGTGGTTGCAGGCTCAGGTGACACGGGGCTATTCGCAAGGGCCGCCACGTTGGGCTGTGTGCAGGCCCGCGACTTGAGCGCTTGACCGGCCAGCTCGGCAAGTTGAAGCCCCCGCGTCCCCTGGAGCGAGGTTGCGTGAAATGATGAGATGGCGTATTGTGTTCGCGCAGCGTTGATTGGTGGAGTGTATTCTTTTCTGCGGAGAAAGACAACAGTTTGTTCAGTGGAAAGGCAGCAGCCAAAACACGGCTCTTTTTTTGCCCGCAAGTTGAGATAAGTTGGGACAGGGGCATTATTCTTGAACACTTCGGCGTTTCGCGCCCGGAAGCATGGGGAAGGTTTTGCGGAAGGCAGCTTTTTCGTAGAAGGTGCTTGGAAGTTTTCATCTTCGACAACAACGGTGTTCAGTTTGTGCGGATTTCTTGCGGCGCCCAGACTCGCGGAAGCTTAACGCCTGCAAAGCACAAGCCGCGGAAGGGCGAGAAAGTAAACCATGCAACACATCGGCAAAGTCCACGGAAGGCACGATGTTGGCACGTAGCAATGCGGAAGGATCCATGGGAGCTCGAGTAATGTCCAAGCAAAAGGGAATAAAGGCAACCGCTCAAGTGTTGGCTACAGCTGGCAGTAGGCAACTCAGCAAGACCGCCAGTGCTTGGCAGGCTGCGAAGTGGCTGCTAGCTCAAGTGACGGGACTTTTTCAGGCAGTTCCTTCCTTTGCGCACCTTCGGTGCCTTGATGCCTGCAAGAGCCTCAGACTTGGATGTCCGCCCTGATGACAAAGCACTAATTAGTGGCACAGTGTGTTCATCTCGCTTGCTGGATGGCTGGTCCCCATGGAAAGCCAGTTGCTGTTGGCTGCGGCTACCAACAAACATCTCAGCAAGACTACTGCGACGTGGTCGGTTGCAAAGAGGCTGCGGATTCAACCGACGGAGGAGTTTTGCAGCGGTGGTTCCTGTTTGGGCAAGACTCAGACTTGGATATCCATCCTGCAAGTTGCAGCCCGCGTGCGCAATTTGCAGATGGCTTAAAGGCTACGAGACATGTTGAGATGGCATGTGGCAATCACAGCGTTAACTGTTGGCACAGTGTTGTTTGCCCGCTAGAAAGGCGATTTCAGGTGGAAGGCCAGCTGCCAAGAGTGGGCTGCTGCCAGCAAGCAACTTAGCCACTCTACCGCTGCTTGGCCGCTTGGCAGGAGCGCGCGAACATCGTTGAAGGTTGGATAGAGGCCACGCGAAATGACGGCCTTGGCTGCGGCCGGCAGCAATCAAATTAGCAAAGCGTCTGCTGCTTGTTAGGGTGCAATTTGGCTGCAGCTGACACAGGAGTTGGATGTCCATCATGTAAGTTGAAGCCCTTGTGTGTCTTTTGCAGATTGCATATAGGATGCGCGAGGGGTCTTTGAGATGGCAGGTACAAGAAGCAAACACAGCATTAACTGGTGGCACGGTGTGTTTGTCTGCTTCAACGCGAGACCAGTGTGTCGAACGCCAGCTGCCAAGCGTTGGGTGCAGCTTGCAGCCAACTCAGCAACGCCGCTGTTTGGCAGGTTGCCAGGTCCCTTTCTTGTTGCACTTTACAAGTCCTTGGAGGAGACGGCCCAGCCGACTCGGATGGCTCTTTACGTTGCAGCAATTGAGCCCGGCACGTTTGCAGATGGCCCAACGGCTGTGGCAAAGGTTGAGATGGCAGGTTGCCTTTGCGCAGCATCTCAGTTGCCCAAAGCCAACCTTTTGGCCTTTTGGTTTCCCCAGTTGGCGTTTTGGTCCATTTTAGTAAAGATGTCAAAGGTGAACCTTTTATTTGGGCAACTGAGGCATTGATTGCTGGCGCAGGGTGTGTTTGTCAGGATTGGCGATTGTTCAGTGGAAAACCAGCTGCCTCGTCAAGACCGCTGCTGCGGTTGCAAACTGGATGGTTTATGTGACACCGGAGTTTTCTCAAGTGCTTCCTGTTTCCACTTTCCTTCCATGCAGAAATTCCTGGGTGGGCCGAGCAAGAATCAGACTTGGTGGTCCTGCCTGTGAGTTGAAGCCCCCACAGGAGGTTTGCAGATTATGTAGGGGTTGCGCGAAATATTGGGACGGCATATTGCAAGCACGGCGTTGACTGATGGCACAGTGTGTTTGTTTCTCCCTTAATAGGCGGCTGTTTCCGATGGAAAGCCAGCTGCTGTTGGCTGCGGCTGCCATCAAATACGTCATCAAGACCAGTGCGAGGTAGGTTCCAAAGTGGCTGCAGCTGGTGACACAAGAGTTTTGTTGAGGTGGTTCCTATCCCGCTAAGACATCAGACTGCCGATCACGGAAGTTGAAACTCCGCGTAGGGAGTTTGCAGAGTTCATGGCTGCTGTTGTCCGGCGGCGCAGCGTGTGCTTTCTGCCCACTAGAAAGGCAATAGTTTCCAGAAAGCGAGCTGCCAACTAAGTGGGAGGCTCAGGTGAGACCAATCATTTTTCAGGTTCCTTTCTCTGAACACCTTGCGTGCCTTGATGCGTGGAAGAGACGAACCAGCCGACTTAGATGTCAGTGAAGCCGGCACGACGCGTTTGCAGATTGGATGGAGGCGGTGCGACATGTTGAGATGGCCTCTTGCAAGCGCAGCATTGATTGGTGGTGCAGGATGTGTTTTCTGCTTGCAGGAAAGGCAATTGAGTAGTGCAAAGCCAGCTGCCAACTTGTCAAGACGAACCAGCCTCAGACTTGGATGTCCATCCTGTAAGTTCAAAAATGCGCACGCCCTTTTTAGATTGGCCGGCTGCGCGAAAGGTTGAGATGGCAGGCAGCAAAGACAGCGTTGACTGGTGTCAAAGTATTTTGGTCATGCTCTGAGGCACAGTTGCTTCCATCGAAGCGCAGCTGCACGGCGTTTTGCAAGACTACCACTGCTTAGGGTACACAGTGGCTGAGGCTGGCGCGACGCGACGGGCTGCGTCCTGTCTTGGCATACCTTCCATGCAGGGATGCCGGGAAGAGACGGACAGGCCCATCTGAAAAGTGAAGCACGTGCGCACGCCCTTTGCGCTTCGGATGGGAGCAATTTGAGATGGCAGATGGCAATCGGAGCGTTGACTTATGGCACAGTGGCAATCTTGCAGAAAAGATTGTTAATACTTACTGGAAGGGGGCCATCAACTGTTGCAGCTGCCAACTTAGCAAGTCTACCGGGGTTTGGATGCAGCGCAGCACGCCCAGGTTGTTTGTGTCTCTCACTTTCCACGGCGTACGGAGACCTACTACCAAGTTCGATCGTTTCTGCGGGAAGAGACTAGATGACAGATGGCAGACGTGGTGCCGCCGTGTTTGTCTGCCCGCGGGAAAGACGATTGATTCCGGCGGGAACGCAGCTGCGAAGTGTTGGCTGCAGTTCGGCAGGACTGGCGCTGCCTGGCAAGTTGCAAAGTGGCTGCAGGTGCAGATGAGACAGGGTGTTTCTCAGGTTGTATTTGACTTTTGCTTGCCATACTTCCAGAAAAGGGCATGCAACTTCGCGCAAAGCTCGTCGGAAGGAGTGGTGTACTCTGCTTCCTGCAGATGGCAAGTTTTGGCATGGCTCGGCAGCAGGCAGCTTGGCAAGACTTGTGGTGCTTGGGAGGTTGCAAAGTGGCTGCAGGTTTAGGTGGCACTGGAATTTTGTCAGGTGACTCCTTCCTATTCTCATATTTCCTGCACGGGTGCATGCAAGAGACGAACAACACTCACACTTGATTGAGCGTCCTGTGAATTTAATCCTGCTGCGGGAAGTGTTTGGTTGGCAGGGGCGCACGTGGCGCCACTGTGCTTGTTCTGCTTGGAGAAAAGACGACTGATTGTGTCTGGTGGAAATTCAGCTGCGAAGTGTTGGCTGCAGTTCGGCAGGACTGGCGCTGCCTGGCAAGTTGCAAAGTGGCTGCAGGTGCAGATGAGACAGGGTGTTTCTCAGGTTGTATTTGACTTTTGCTTGCCATACTTCCAGAAAAGGGCATGCAACTTCGCGCAAAGCTTGTCGGAAGGAGTGGTGTACTCTGCTTCCTGCAGATGGCAAGTTTTGGCGTGGCTCGGCAGCAGGCAGCTCGGCAAGACTTGTGGTGCTTGGGAGGTTGCAAAGTGGCTGCAGGTTTAGGTGGCACTGGAGTTTTGTCAGGTGACTCCTTCCTATTCTCATGTTTCCTGCACGGGTGCATGCAAGAGACGCTCAAGACTCACACTTGATTGAGCATCCTGTGAACTGAATCCTGCCACACCCTGTCCAAGTTGGATAGAGGCTGCAGGAAGTGTTTGGTTGGCAGAGGCAAAGGTGGTGCCATGGTGCTTGTTGTGCTTGGAGAAAAGACAATTGATTCTGTCCGCTAGAAAGCCAGCTGCCAAGTGCTGTGTGGTGCAGCCCGGCAGGGCTACGGCTGCCTGGCAAGTTGCAAAGTGGCTGCAGGTACAGGTGAGACATGGTGTTTCTCAGGTAGTGTTTGACTTTTGCTTGCCATTCATCTCGAAACGGCATGCAACGACTTTGCCTTCTGCAGCTGCTGACGTTTGCGCAAGAGTTGCCGGGAGCATGAATGGCGCTGTCAGAACTGGTCCAAGAGCCGAAGAAGTGTTCCAATGTCCCTTGCTTGGTGGCGCTGTTTGCTTGTTTTGAAGGACCAATTGCCAAGTTTTGGTTGCAGTTGGCAGGCTCAGCAAGACTGCTGGTAGGTCGCAAAGTGGCTGCAGGCTTTGCTGACACTGGACTTTTCTCAGGTGATTCCTGTCTCTGCACAGCTTCCTTACAGGATGCCTGCAAGAGACGGACAAGACTCAGACTTGGATGTCCATCCTGCGGATTGGAGCCTGCCGCACCCTTCCTGCAGGGAGTGTTTGGTTGGCAGAGGCAAAGGTGGTGCCATGGTGCTTGTTGTGCTTGAAGAAAAGACGATTGGTTCTGTCCGCTCGAAAGCCAGCTGCCAAGTGTTGTGTGGTGCGGCTCGGCAGGGCTACGGCTGCCTGGCAAGTTGCAAAGTGGCTGGTACAGGTGAGACATGGTGTTTCTCAGGTAGTGTTTGACTTTTGCTTGCCATTCATCTCGAAACGGCATGCAACGACTTTGCCTTCTGCAGCTGCCGACGTTTGCGCAAGAGTTACCGGGAGCATGAGTGGCACTGTCAGAACTGGTCCAAGAGCCAAAGTTTTCACGAATATCGCCTATCCTTGTTCTAAAAAAAACAATAGTTCAAGCTTGTCTAAGCGGCTGTTCGAGGTAAAAAGAATGGAGGAGCAACCTGCAGAAGCACACCAACAACCGGGCTTGCCCGGTTGCGCTGTTTGCTTGCTTGGCACAAAAAGAAGACATTTGCTACCTGAGAAAACGATTACCAAGTGTTGCCTGCAGATGGCAGGCTTAGCAAGACCAACGGTGCTTGGTAGGTTGCAAAGTGGCTGCAGGCTTTGGTGGCACTTATCTTTTCTCAGGTGATTCCTGTCTCTGCGCACCTTCCTTACAGGATGCCTGCAAGAGACGGACAAGACTCAGACTTGGATGCCCAGCTTGATTTTGAAGCCCGCGCGGCATTGACTGGTGGCACAGTGTGTTGCGCTAGAATTGTTTCCAGTGCAAATCGAGCCTAGTCTTGGCACGGCTGCCTAACATTGTAGCAGCAAGATTACCGCTGCTTTGCAGGTTGCAGGGCGGCTGCAGGTTCAGATGAGACGGGATCTAGAAACACGTGCTCTTGTTTGTTCCGAGAGTTTGCTACGTGGTTGACTTTCAGTTCAGTCCCAGTTAGCCTCCGCGTAAACCCTTGTACGCTGAGTTACTAGCCATCTAGGCAAACCCCCAGAAGACCACCTAAATTTGGTTGACGGTGCCATTGGTGTATTTTGTGGTCGTTGCTTTGTTGTGTTTTATCATGTTTGCGTGGTTGCTCTTGGTTTGGTTTAGTTTCGTTTCATTGTGTGTGTGTTTTGTGCTTGCTTGCTTGCTTGCTTGCTTGCTTGCTTGCTTGCTTGCTTGCTTGCTTGCTTGCTTGCTTGCTTGCTTGCTCTTGCTTGCTTGCTTGCTTGCTTGCTTGCTTGCTTGCTTGCTTGCTTGCTTCTTGCTTTTGCTTTTGCTTCCTTGCTTGCTTGCTTCCTTGCTTCCTTGCTTCCTTGCTTCCTTGCTTCCTTGCTTCCTTGCTTCCTTGCTTCCTTGCTTCCTTGCTTCCTTGCTTCCTTGCTTCCTTGCTTCCTTGCTTCCTTGCTTCCTTGCTTCCTTGCTTCCTTGCTTCCTTGCTTCCTTGCTTCCTTGCTTCCTTGCTTCCTTGCTTCCTTGCTTCCTTGCTTCCTTGCTTCCTTGCTTCCTTGCTTCCTTGCTTCCTTGCTTCCTTGCTTCCTTGCTTCCTTGCTTCCTTGCTTCCTTGCTTCCTTGCTTCCTTGCTTCCTTGCTTCCTTGCTTCCTTGCTTCCTTGCTTCCTTGCTTCCTTGCTTCCTTGCTTCCTTGCTTCCTTGCTTGCTTGCTTGCTTGCTTGCTTCCTTGCTTCCTTGCTTCCTTGCTTCCTTGCTTCCTTGCTTCCTTGCTGCCTTGCTGCCTTGCTGCCTTGCTGCCTTGCTTCCTTGCTTCCTTCCGTGCCTCCGTGCCTCCTTGCTTCCTTGCTTGCTTGCTTGCTTTTGCTTCCGTGCTTCCTTGCTTCCTTGCTTCCTTGCTTCTTGCTTCCTTGCTTCCTTGCTTCCTTGCTTGCTTCCTTGCTTCCTTGCTTGCCTGCTTGCTTGCTTGCTTGTTTGCTGGCTTGCTTGCTTGCTTGCTTGCTTGCTTGCCTGCTTGCTTGCCTGCTTGCTGGCTTGCTGGCTTGCTGGCTTGCTGGCTTGCTGGCTTGCTTGCTTGCTTGCTTGCTTGCTTGCTTGCTTGCTTGTTTGCTTGCTTGCTTGCTTGCTTGCTTGCTTGCTTGCTTGCTTGCTTGCTTGCTTGCTTGCTTGCTTGCTTCTTTCTTGCTTGCCTGCTTGCTTGCTTCTGCGCTTGCGTGCTTGTGTGCTTGGATTCTTGCGTGTTTGTGTGTTGTTTTTTGTTTGTTTGCTTGGTTGGTTGGTTGCTTGGTCGGTCGGTTGGTTGGCTGCGTTTTTTTGTTGTCTCGCTTTGCCAGACTTCCGATCTAGGTTTCCCACAGGTGCCCTTTGCCTTTGGCGACGTGAGGCGAACCTGGGCAGAATCGCGCCTTTGCGGTGCAAGGAGGCCGTCGAAGTTGTCGAATGCTCGTGTGATTTTTCCTGGTGGAAGACCGGCGTGGCGGAGATACTCACTTTAGACTTTGGACTTTTGTTTTCTTCGGGGACACTTACATTTTTGGATTATTGTCAACATCAAGTATTGCAAGTTGTGTTGTGCACAATCAAAAGGGCGGAGATGCTCACCCATGTGTGGCTGAGACTGTCCATTAACCCTTTGGCCATCATTTAGGTAGGGATTAATGTCCAGCGAGTTGTTTTGAGCCTGTTCCTCTAAACCTGAACCGAATCTACAGGAGTAAGAAGTTAGTATTTCTTCTGGGTGCAGGCTGGCGTCATTTTTCTGGGACTTTCTGGAAGGGTGCCGACGATTTGGTTCCAGCCACACCAAGAGAATGTGTTCAAAGCATCAATTTAGTGGCAACGTGAGCTTGGTTTGGCACATCCCTCCATTGATAGAGAAAGTGTGACCTTTGCTTGGCCAATCCACTGCCCTCACCCAGAGGGTCCCCGCCTTCCAAGGATGTACTGAACGACCCCTTGGATCTCCCCTTTTGAGCCATCCTCAGAGGGTAGGGACCTTCTGCGATTGGAAGTGAGCTGCTGGTTTTAACCTATTTCTTCGCTCGCCTTTGCCGCATCCGCCGACTGCAATCGCATCGACGTCTTGCTACAGCGGTTGTGTGTTTTTTTTGGGGGGGGTTCTTCCCCCTCCGAAACCTGCCATCCCGAAGTGTGATGCCCGTACTGTAGAGCCACCTTTGAGATTTGGACCAGTTTCGTGACTAAGTGTGGGCGGTTTTCAAGTGGAATTGAACCACTGCCCTCACAGAGGGTCCAAGAGCCGCAACGCAGAGGGTCCCATGCCCACCTTGAAGGATGTACTCAGACCCTTCTGACCCCCTCAAAAGGCCCCCTGGTACCTTCCAAGGACTCACTTCCTTTTTTGACCTCCCAAAGCACCTTCCAAGGATCGCCTGAACGACCCCTTTTTGACCCCCCAAAAGGCCCCCTGGTACCTTCTATAAGGAAGTACTTCCCCTAAACCACCTTCCAAGGATGAACGACCTTTTGACCCCTCTTTGGAGCCATCCTCAGGTACTTGTGCCAAGGCACCCTCCTCCGTCGGCGTTTCTTCTCGAGGGAGGCGAAGCGCGCTTCAGGCGGTCCTGGCTGCCCTCCACTTGGCCACCCAAGACCAAGAGGTGGAGGCACACCTCCACCCCCGCGCTCGCTGCCAGCGCGCCTCGTCGTCAGGTTTTTGGTCGGTTTTGTTTTCCTCCGGTGGCGGCCGCTGAGCTTTCCTCGGCTTTCACCAGCGCGCCAAATCAGTTGTTTCCCTTGTTCGGCGAGGTGTTCCTCGGTTTTTGACAGGCTAGAACAGCATTGCGCCAAGACAGAAGCTGAGGTTCAGCCGATGTTTTTGTTGATTTGTCTTTTGTCCATTCAAAAAGCCTTCATTTGCTTGAGAACTATATGTCTTATTTGCCCCTGTTTTAGAAGGAACTTGTCAGTACTGGAAATGTGGTCTATTTATTCCAGAGGCCGAAAAAGCAAATGGAGGTTGATCTCGATGCTTTTTCCAGACGTATTCACAAATGGAGGAACCAACCACATGTTTTTCGCCAGCCGCGAAGTTCACTTGATGTTTCACCTGCCCAGTGGATCCCAGTGACCACTACAATAGGTGACCAGCCATGTTCCTTTTGGCTTTTAAAGGGTGTAAGCAAACGGAATCACTGGGCTTAGTTATCCCTTGCAAGCCAATACCCATGGCTGGCCTTTGCTTTCCTTTTGAAGCTACGCAACAAAGGGTACCAAAGTCTAGTTGGATGTTCGACCTACTTCGCAAGTATATAGGTTCTAACCTTTATTTTTGCACGGGCCAAGAGGGGTTGTCGAGCTGACAGCTGACCATTGCTGCAACAAACTGGCAAAGTAGGTTGAAACATCCAATAAGTCGAATCGATTTCTTGTTTCACTTTTGGGTGGCCACTGGGACACTGACACCATTGGATAGCCAAACGGGACATCAGGGAGACGTGTTGTAAGGGGTACCGGGTATGTTGTTGAAATCAGCCCCACGCCATCAGGGGTTCTGATTGCATCTTGGATGCCTTGGCGTTTTCACTGCCCGCCAAGAGTCTTATCTAACTTTCTCCCGGAGTCTCATGGCCCGAAACAACCAACCATGGGGTCATCAAGGGGTAAGGAGACTCCATTCTTCAGGAGGCTCCAGGTTTAGCTTTTTGCCGTTTTTTTTTGATGGTGAGTTTGCAAGAGGGAGGTTTGGAAGGGTTGTAGCGTTTTCGGTTTGTGGTGTTTGGGGACATTGGACTTGCTGACCCCAAAAGCCTACAAATATTGGTGGTTTGCAGCTCCCCTTAGTTGTTTTTTTTTAACCTTTTAGTATTTAGTGGTAGTTTCCAGTCGACCACCCACTAAAACTTAAGCTTTTGGAGGGGGATCTGAGGGTAGCCTGGAAAAGTGGTCGACTGTTGTTTTTGTGTGTGTGTGTGACCATTTCGTTGGGTCCTAGAAAGTTGGGTCTCCAATTTTGACACATACATCCGGAAGGATGATGCTTGTCTAGGTCCCCCAGTAGTGCCCTTTTACCCTTTGTTTCGGGGGGAGGGTTCCCCTACTAAAATAGACTCCAGAAAAAAGAAACGGTACCCTTATTCTAACCTCTCATATTATCTCAAATCTGGTGGACCTAGTTTATGCGGATTTCCTTTTTGGGGTACGAAAAATTCTCGAGACGGCCATTTGCTGACATTTGCTCAAGCTGGAGCCTGGCTCAGACCCGGAGTTTGCGACCGCAGGCTGTCCCTTAGTTGAGGTCGGCGTCACGACAACCGAAGGCTCCATGGGGAAAAAAAAAAACAAAAACAAAGGAAAGTGACCTGGCTATACCATGGTACCCGGGTGTTGGTGGGAATGGTATTGGTGTTCACTAAGGGACATATTTCTCACTGAAAGTTGAGCTTTTGGCAAGGGATTGACGAACCACCGAGTCAAGATTCTAAAACAATAAATTTCAACCTGGAACCTCAAGAAATCCCTCAACACCTGTCAAATCTCCCCCATCCTTATTGGGTGAATTGCTTTTTCTGAGGGTCCAGGAAGCCAGTTCCAGGTGCTTTTGGAAGTCAGTTCCAGCTAAGTGGCATCCACCGACCGCCGATTTTGTTTGTCGTCGCCATGCGCCCCCGAAACCGCGCGCCGGCGGTGGGCACCCAAGAGATATTTTCAGGTGACTTGACGGCTCAGTTTGGTGACGTGACGGATGAACGGCCCACGTGTTTTTCTTAACAAAGAAGCAAAAACAAAATGTGTGTTATTATTATTACTGTTGTTGCTAATATATTTATTTATGTTTATAGTAGTATTATTATCATTATTATTTTTTTCCCAAAGGGAAGCCAAGAGGGGCTGTGTGTGTGTGTGTGTGTGTCTGTGATGTGTTGCTTTTGTTTTGCGAAAGGGAAACCAAGAGGGGATGTGTGTGTGTGTGCCTTTTTCAACCCCCCTTTGTAGCACCCTGGCAAAATTCATTCTCCATGAATTTCCTGGTAGTTCTCGTCTTTCACTTGCTTTCCCTAAATCTCGGTGTTTTTTTTCGTGAAGTCGCCAAAAACACTAAAGCTCAGGTGTTGTTGTTTTGGCACGTGAGATGTCAGAATTGGTCCCTTTTTACGTTGTCCCCGCCACAATTACTCGCAAAACGCCCGCACATCACATTAACAAGGTGATTCTTTTCGGGGGTCGCCCAAAGTGCCAGAATGCCAAAACATCTAACAAAAGGCCGGAGAAGGAATCTCCATCTAAGTTACAAAGGGGTTGTGACCCCCAGTTGAGCAGCGATTCTAGCTTCGGGAGACCGCCCACCAGATCGTGCCGCGACGTGCTTGGGAAGCCTCTCGCGGTTTGACACCTGCGAAGCCACAAAGGCTCCAAAAGAAATTCATTGCTGAAAACACGTCTGCGAAGCCACCACCGTCTTGTCGCGAAGCCTCGGCAGCGCAAGCCTTCCGCAAGATAACGGCCCGAAGGTGTTTTAGCGTATGCTTTTCAGGAGTGCAAGGGAGGAGGCCGTAGGGCGGGCTAGCTCCTTGATAAGCCAAGGAAAAGCTCTGAAAGAGAGGTTTAGGGACCCATGTAGTTTTGTCACCAGGTAGTCTCACGCAGCTCGTGTCAGCACTGGGGAACCCGCTGTGCATCAAGAACGGTTTCAGGGTCGCTACGGCCGCTGGTGTCCAGGCCCGTTGATTTTGAAGGTAAACCTACATGGGAAGCAGAAGGACCACCGGATGTCTCGGTCAATTTTTCGTACCCCGCTTCAACGACCTCGCGGACCATTGCAGGTGGTTGTGGTAAGGTCTTTGTTTCCGGAATCTACTTCTGACCCGAGTCAAAAGTGGGGTCAGCGCCCAATATTGGGGTCACCCCATGTTTTGTCCAGGGTCAGAAGGAGGCTGCAGGCAAACAGACAAACCATTTTGATTGCTATTGGGTTGGATCTTCAGACTTCAGCTCTTTGGCGAATCCTGCGTTCTCCGAATTGAATCCACCAAAAGCGCTGCAACTAAGAGAAGGAGACGCCAGGCAAAGCGACAAACCGTGCCACCCTTCAAGTCAGCTGTAAGGTGGTGCTTGCGCCGCCTCCCCCGCCGGCACGGCCGCCGCCAGCAGTAGCGCAACTCCCAAAGTGACGCCCCCAGCCGCTCCCAGCCGCTTTCGTTTTGGCCGATGCAGAAGTGTTTGTAATCTGTGTGTGTGTGTGTTTTTTTTTTTTTTAATAGAAAATGCCCTGAGTTACTGGAGTTGAGTGACTTTTTGGGAAGACCGGTATTAGTGGCAAACAAGAAGCTTGGAACTTCTTTTGGTCAATCCACTCGATCGGAAATGAGTCCTTTGTGGTGTTTGGTTCAAAGATATTTCAAAGGAGCACCACCTATTGTAGGGGCTCGCTAAAGACAAGAGAAACACTTATCCAGTCTGTGTTTGGCCATTTCAGGTCATTGCGACCTACACGGATTTTTCTCTACTGGGTCCCGAAAAAGGTGGCGTTCGCGTTTTGAAGGCTGCGCAATCTTGGGATGTTTTCAGACTTCCCTTGGACCCGTCTCCGGAATTTAGAGGGCCCCTAGGCCCCAGAATGTCGCTTTGATTTGATTGATTTTGCCCAGTGATTCCCGAAGCTCCCCGAGAAAATTAGCCTTAAACACCAAGACGAGACTGGTTGACCATCGGGCAAGCTGTGATCCACAGGGTTCGACCTTCTAGATTATGACATATTTTATTGAAAGTTAACCTTTTTCGCAAATGTTCCGCAAGTTGAAAGCCATGGTGTTTCCTGATAAAGGCACGCACACAGACTTGGGAAGCATTGTCTATAGGCCCATGGGGGTTGACCAACCGGTGTTCGCCTTATGGTTGTTTGGAGTCTGCTTCTGACTCAATCAAAATGGAGTTACCCAAGAAGGGGTCATGACTCCCCATTGTTCAAGGGTCAGAAGGAGACAGTTGGGTGCTGGGGGTCCAACGTTGTTTTCTGCGGAATTCTTGCAGCTGCCGATTCGTGTGGAAACCGCCCCAAGATGTTGGTTCCGCCGGGTATGCGAGTTTTGTCGGGTGCTTCCGTCAAAAGTTCCTTGGGTTCCTAGATGAATGCACCCCTCTATATGGTTGTGTGGGCCACAAATAGGTGCCCAAAGTGGAACCCTGGTAAATGGAAACACGGACTAAATCCTGTGGTTCCTTGCTGCTTGAATTTTGACCCATACCCATATTTCAAGCTTGGGGAGTGGCCCTGACCCCAAAGGCCCTTCCGAGAAACCTTGGATTTGCTCCCTTCAGGTCTCTCGACCTGCTGGGGGCTTGGAGGGAGCAACCCAGAAAAGACGTGCACCTACCAAATATGGAAGTGAATAAGTCTCATTTGGGTCAATCAAACTTTGATCTCTCGTCGACCAACTCAAAACGATGCTGTTCCAAAACAACACGACCCTCTAATCGACCTAGTTGGACCCAAACAATGCCAACTTACAAAAAAATGTGATTGCAGCAACCAAATTGTGCTTGGTGAATTATCTGTCTTTGGGCAGTTCAAGGCTCGCAGACCTTTTTCCCGTTGCTCCGAACCGAGTCTCGAGTCAGGACGGAGGTACAGAAGGTCCGCTTCGCAGGGGGCGCCCAGAGAGAAGAGTCACGAGTCGCTGGCCGAGCAGATCGCCGCCCGTTTTTTTTTGTTTATTTTTGGCTTTTTTGTTTTTCCTCCCTCAGGTGTATCACAGCTGTTTCTTTGTTTCTTTGTTTGTCTTTTTGTTTCTCGGGTGTCTCACACTACCCATAAACAAGTTGGAGTTCGCGAACCATCAAATGTGGGTTGCACTAACCCGTGTTTAAGTTGGATTATTGAGGGTCCAGGTGTTTCTCATAGGGGAATGCCACGTTGAGTTGCCTGTGGAAGCACTGACTCACATGGTTTGTTTCATGGGTTCCCTTACGCCACTGAAGGGCTCAACGTCCTACCCTTGACTTCACGGAATCAATAAAGGCCACCACTGGAGATGAAGACAATGAAGTCAATGATGCTATTTAGTAAAATATTGGCTTTTTAAAGGCTCTCCAATTTATTTAAAGCAAACATGTATTGTTCGACAGGGTGAGGCTGGATGAACAAAAGCTCGGGGCTCCCTTGGAAGCCGAAACTCGGGCACATAAAGGGGGACAGTCCCTGTCGGAAATAGGGCGGAGGCAGTTTTGCGTCGGTCTGAATACCGGATTTCCATTATGAATCCGGCGGGTGATCTTTTGTGTTCATGCTATTTTGCGAACCCTTTTGGCAGGGATCATGACTTTGGGGACAATACAGATAAAACATAATGCGCCAGATTGATTCGTTCAGGTTGGATATTGCTAGTTTGGGAAAGCCAGAGCGAAACTATCTAATCCCTTTGCCAAATCAAAAATGCTGACAACACGGTGTAACTGCTTTCCTTGGGTCACATGTGCCCTTCTGTAAGACAGGTGAGCAGGGTGCAAGGCCACGTTGCATTGCGATTGAACAGGGGTGGTCATAAGGTGCCCCGGCGTAAGGCAAACATGTGGCGGCGCGAGGCCGCGTAGGCGAAGCTCGCGTAAGCGCGTCGGCGAAAGACTTCCTTACAACCTAGGTTTGAGCAGGACGTGTTCAACGCCGCTCGGGTAGAAAAGGGTGGTTTTCTATTTAGTCATTCATGCAAACTGTATTCATGAATGGGGAGAAGGCATGATGCATGTTGATTTCTGGAGCATCTTTCGGTCCTGGTACTTGCTTTTGCCCGAATCTCCCTTGAGGTGGGCCAGGAATTTGGAGGCTAAGTATTGTCTTGGATTACGGGCAACGCCAACGTGTATTGTGTCTGTTGCAAGAGGCGGCGGCACTTACTCTTCCTGCCACTTAAACAGGATATGTTTGGGGCGGGGTCCACTTTTTTACCTTGTGAACTGCACACAGGACAATGCCAAGACCATTGCAAGGACAGATAAATTTGAGTGATAATTTTTGAGGGTACGTTGCTGTTGGGTGATTTGAAAGAAAAACATAGGTTTGGGTGTCCGGGTGTGCCCTATCTTGAGACACAACCAGAAATATGCTTTTAACGACTCCTTTTCAGGTCAGTGCATGGCTCCAGAGTCGACCTTTGACGAATTGCTTTCCTGTGTGTCTGCTTTGGCAGGCACTTGGCAAAGGGTCCTGTGAACCATGTTTGATGGAAGGTGACTTTTGGATACTTTTGGCAAGTGCAAGTGGTTGCCAAAGCAAGGACTCCCACAAATGGGCGGATACCCCGTTTTCTTTCTGTCCATCCCAAAAGCACCCCGGCACTTCTGCAAACACTCAAATGGACATTGCAAATTGTCGCTGCAGGATTTCGGGTACGACGACATCGAGGGCGGGAACTTGTTGGGAAAGCTGCTGGGCAGTTTGCAGGCGCGTTGAGAGAACTTCTCCCGACATGGGATCTGCGGGTACCTAGATCAATTTCCTTTTGGAGGGATCGATCAGGTGCCATGCTGCGAGAGAGGGTACCGTGGACATCCGTGTCGATCGGGATTAGTTGGTACATGTAGGTGACTTATACTCTCCCACAGAACAGCTGTTCCTGTGCGACGATTCATATCATCGCCCAATCTTGAGGCAGTAGATGCCGAGTCTCAGTTATTCTTTCAGCTTCGCTTGGCAGTTAGGTTCCCATTGCCAATGTCGACTCGGAAAATATTGACCGGTTCAAGACATGTTGGACACTCAGGGGGCGGGGGCGTTGCCTGATTCTTTCGTTGTTTGCTATGTGTTGACCTTACTTACACACAATTTCGACCCGGAATTAGTCGCCCTAGTGCTTTGATACGGGTGTGAATGTTCACCTCTTAAGTGCAGTGAAGCAATGGAGTTTATTAATCCTGGTCGACTAATAGGCCACCTGGTCGACCAATAGACGCAAGATGGAAGATGTTCAACCTCTGTCCATTCTGATGAATTTGCCTGAGACGCGACTTTGTTCATGAGGATCTATGGCCAACGGGTTGCCGGTGTCCCGCGTCAGTGCTATATGTGTGTAGCCCTCCCATTTAGTGGGAACATGATCCACATGCTGATATTTCGCTGCAACTTGTTTTTAAGTCGAGACTACAATCATTCTCAGCCCCGAATATGGGCTACCCGTTCAAAGGAACGCTTCTCATGGGCGAAGTCACACTTTCCAACATGTGACGATTCTCGTGCTGTTCTCACGAGAACCTAAGCTTTCCCAACAATAATGCCAGCTCCCGTGAGTGCTGGCTTCCCTGAAAGGAAGCCCAAAGGGGTTTGGTATTTTGCCTTTGCCATGCTCAAAAGACACCTTCCTTAGCTTGCTAAGGATGGTCATGGGCCCTAAATAGCTAAAATAGGGAGTTTAGACAAGAGACATGCTTACGTTTGCACAGTTGCTCAACCGATTTCAACCTTGCTTTAACCATGTTCAAGCCGTGTTTAACCCCAACACGGCTTATCCGTATTAAACACATTGATGACGCCAGTCATGTTTTGAGATTGGTTTAACCCGCGCAGGGCTTCCAGTTGCTATAGGTAATCAGATACTTTTGCCTCAAGGTTTTACCATGGTTTCCCTAGTCATGGCAACCGGAGGCTTTCGTGTCGACATCGCCCCGGTTTCGACTCGCGTCGGTCTCCGACGATCGCGTCGCGAGGAGGACCGTCTCTCAGTGCAAGAGGCGGTGAGGGCGCTGGAAGCGGATCTCCGGAGCCAGGCGCCGCTTGGAGTCGAAATCAGCGGTCAGGTGAGCCACTTGCTCAAAACCGATTCGGGCAGATGAAGGTTGGGACGGGAGAATGCCAAGCATCAGTTGGTTCGGATATCCGATATCCGGGCCATTGAATTCTTTGCACGGTTCTGGGTAGACTAGTTGAATACTGGTCAGGTGCTTCCAGTCTCCTTTCATGGGATACGACCCCCCGGAATTTTGCTGGGCCTCACCAAGTCATATGACGTTCTGAAATCAGACCCAATGTTTTCGGGGTCAGAAGGACGACTCCGGGTTCCACTTCTGTAAGGGCATCGGTAAACTTGGTGGTAGGTAAGCAAGGCTCTCCCACTCAACACCTCAACAAGTTGGCGCTATGAAAGGTTCACACTAGTCAGAGGCTTGCTTTTAAGCATGAGAAGCGCAAACAAAACGAGGTGACGAAATGTTCCAACCTTGTCTGAAATGACATAGTCGTGGTGAAGGGATTCAGGGGGGAGAATGCTAGTCAGGTCCCAACATCAGTAGGTAACCAGGCGAAACCATCAGAAGCAAAATCCAGAGATACAAATACTGAAGGGTTGCCCGCTATAGTGGGGTTTTGGCAACTGGAAGCACTGGGGGATATGGGCGCGAACTTTAATTAGGGACCCTCTGGTCTGCGGGGGCGCGATTCACACCTACTAACACTTGTGGTTGGTGGTCGGTACTTACGGTTCATAGGCACAGATGGGGGAGTGCCTTTTCTGAGGGAATCTTTGAGGTGGCTAAAGGGAAGCCCCGAAATCAACAAGCATCCATATTCGTAATACATATGCATGTGTATATATATATATATGTATGTATGTATGTATGTATGTATGTATGTATGTATGTATATATTGGGCGGGGTGTCTCACCGGAGACATACCTACGGGACGGGACCCTTGGGGCTCAACATGAAACCCAAGGGGTCTGATCAGGTGGCATTTTGTAAAAGTGACAACGATTTGGCAAAGGAGGCTTGGCTCCTTGGTATTTTACAACTCCTTTTTGTTTTGCCATTGCATTTTGAAAACAACAGCAAAAAAACCACGGAAAACAAAAAACACTTCTGTTCAGGACGTTTGTCAGCGGGATCTCCCTCTTCTTTCCTGGGGTCCTTCTTTTCAGACCAACGTTTCTTGGAGAACGGCGAGTGTTTCGAAACGACGAATGATTGAACACAATGAGAACTCTTTTTGTTGGAGCCTGGCTGGATCTGGCTAGTTGCCGTAGCCCCCATGAACCTTCACTGTTCTTGGCACATGTTCTAGTTTGTTTTTTCTTTAGTTGTCTTCATGTTCACTGGGTGGCAGCAACAAACGGGAGTGTTGCTGACATGCCCAGGATTGGAAGGAAGCCCCTGACAGCTAGTGAATGCCTTTCTTTTGTTTGAGGGTATCGTTTTTTTGGGTGGGATGAAAACGAAACCAACACGAAGCCAACCTTTTTTGCGAGGTCCCCCTAATTCAAGACACCCAGATGGATACTTTGGTGCATTCTGCTTGGATGTTAGGACTTTAACCTTTTGCCAACTCATGGGTTGTTCGTATTAAACCACCCAAAGTTGAACACTTTTCGCAGGGGAGAAGAAAGCAAGCAAGTTGCCACGGCAAACCTTGGAACCTCAAACTGCCCAGTGGATTTCAGCTCCCATTGTGGGCAACCAGAAAGCAACCGAGGAGCCTTGCTGGGGGGTTCCCCCGAGTGAATCAGCGTTGGGGTGCGGAGGCGCCGCGCGCAGCGGTGTCCACCAACCTCAAGGCGGGAGGATTCGGTTTTTTATCTCAGGTTTGGTTCGGATTGGTTACCGGATTGAACCCCTGGCTCTTGTAGACACCCGGTTTTCAGGTGTTTTTTTGGGTGGTTCTTGTAGAAACCCGGTTTTCAGGTGTTTTTTTGTTGGGTGGTTCGGATTGGTTCGGATTGGTGGTTGAGTTTGGGCGTTTGAACCCGTAGAGGGTAGATGGGAAACCCCTGGACAAATGGGGCCAACTCTAGGGCTATAGTTGCTCCCGCTACAGATGGATGGCTTTTTGGGGTTCCTTCCGAGGACCCTCAACTGGTGGTTTGAATCGGTGGTTCGAGGATTTGAAGCCCTGGTTCTTGTAGACTAATTAGGTCCCCGAGTAGTGCCCTTTTGCCCCTTGTTGGGGGAGGTCCCCCTACTAAAATAGACTATCGAAGAAAAAAAAAGGTACCCTTATTCTATCCTCTCTACTGGAGGACCTGGTAGAGGGTAATGGGAAACCATGAAATCGCCGGGCTCCACCAGCAAGACGGGCTGGCCTTTGTGACTGAACACCGCCCCGAAGAGACCTTTTGGAAACAAGCGGCTTTTCCGGATTTAGCCCGCAAAAGCCAACCAATGGGTGTACCTTCTTGGAAGTGGTACCCCTTTTGGGATGGCTTTGTCACGGGAAACCACCAGGAACCCCGCCCATTTTGGGGCTCCGATCCTGAAACACGACACCTGGACCCTCCAACATGTTCTTAAAAACGTGCAACCCAAACTGCAAGGGACCTGGCCCCCAACTGCAAGGGACCCAAAACGCAAGGGACCCATAAGAAAGGACCCGGACCCTGAAAATGCCCAACAAATTTGTCAATGCAACCCAAAATGCCCTAAACATTGTTATGACCCCAAGAGTATGGTTGGTGACTCCCCTTACTTCTGGGTAGTTTGAGGGTCCAGGCGCACCCAAAATGCCCTAAAAATTGGTTTACCCCAAAATTTATAGTTGGCCAATCCCCTTTCTTATGGGTAGTTCGAGGGTTCAACACCCAAAGGCTACCAACTCCACCGACTCGGAGACCCGGATCTCCGCTCCCAGGCGGACCGCAAGTCCATCCCCTGCCGGCGATGCAACGTGCTGTCGCTTCAGCCAGCGAGCTGCAGTGGGTGGACGTGGATAAATCTCTTTTTGGTAGAAAAACATCCTCACCTGCTTGTAAATGGAATTTGGGGAGTGGGATTCCTTCAGGTTCCATTTTTGTGTTTGGGAAGACTAGATACTTGGAATTGGGTCCCGGACGCCCCCCTCCCCATTTCCTCCTTGGGGTTGGGCGGATAGACCAACAAAGGAGAATCACGTGCTTGTGTTGGGTTATGGAATCCCTAAGGGGGATAGGTACAAGGAGTGGGTGGGTAGTTGAGAGCCCGTTTCGCGTTCCTTCAGGAGCCTCAGGGAACCTGAACGACCCCCTTTACAAACTCCATAATCTCAGCTGTCCCAAGCCGACCTTTTGACCTTTTGCCCTTTTCCCATCCTGGGTTCCTTTTATTCGTCACCCCAAAAGGTGATCAGCTTTTGCTTCCAGGTCCCTACTCACTTCCTGAGTTCATGAACTTTAAACTTTCTGGGAAGACCATTTTAGTGGCCAATATAAAGCTTGGACTTTTTTTGGGCCATCCACTCAGCCAGTGAGCCTAAGGGGCAACTGAGCCATGGGGGCCGTCAACGCGTCCGCTTTGGCCGAGGCTGGAAGCTTTGGCGCAGTCCATGGTGGGCATCGCCGCCGGGAGGCCCAAAACGTTTCCAGCGCGCGGCTTGGGACCTGCGTGGGACCCGAGTTTGACCTGACCTCGACTCTCAAATAAAGCCACTTGCTCAAAGCCGATTCGGGTATGGCTCAAACTGAAACCACCAGAAATTGGAGAGCTGTTGGGTTTTAGTCAACTTGTTTCTGTTTAACAGGATTCCATGGCGGGTAGATGAAGCTTAGTAAGGGACAATCCCCTCGCCATAAATAGCTGCGGATCTCCGCCTTCATTCTTCACATGGTTCTGGGTCGACCACTTTAGTACCGGGTTTTGATTATGACTCAGGTGGTGGTGTTGACGGTTTGGCTTTCCGGACTTTGGTGGGACCTGCCATGTTCCCGTTCACTTCTGGTCGAAGCTGGAGACTAGATCTGAAACCCGACCCGTAGCGACTGTTTCAATAGCGCGAGTGACACCCTTGATGTGGGTGCATCTATTTTGAAAAGCGAAACACCCATCCAGGGCCTGCTTTAATTTGGCCCCCTTAAGCAATGCCAACTGTCAAACGTTTTTGTTTAGTGGGATTTGGGCGTGGCTTGGCTTGGGCCAATTCAATATTGTTTGGCTGGGATTGGGCATGGGCTTGAGTTGAGCCAATAAGTGACTTACTAATTAGTGCCAATGCTTAATTGGGTTAATATTGCCAGGGCAGAAATTGAGAGGATAAATGGGATTATGCTGTTCTGTTTTGCAGGGGGGGGGAGGCTCTCTAATACCAGATCCCTGGAACAGCCACATTTTTAAGGGGAACTATCCTTCCACAATTGCGCATCCCGCTTTTTTAGCGGGTCCTACATCATTCCTTTTTGGCGGAGGGTCTTTCCATGTTAAAGATTTCCCGGAAAAGGTGTTGCTTCATTTTTTTCCCATGAGAAACGATTTCTCTACAGCATCAACTTTCGAAGATCAAGAAGAAGCGAGCGCTTGCCCCTTTCTTCATGTCAACATATGGGTATGGGTCAAAATGAAACCACCAGGGGACCGCTGGTTTTCGTCATTTTTCCATTGTTCGAATTCCATTTTGGGATTACCGCATGTTTGACAACCACAGCCATATGGCCCAGGGGGTCATGTTCGGGCCTTTTGTGAGTCACTGGCCCTGGCTGAGGGCGCGGCGTTTCGCTGGTCCTTGGAGGTGGCAGGCCTGGCGTTAGCATCCGCTTCGCCGCTGGGTCGGAAGCTTCGGTTTGCGACGAAGCGCAAGGGGAAAGCTTCCATTTCTTTGGTGCATGTTGCTTGGATGTTGGAACTTTAACTTTTTGCCAACTCATGGGTTTTCCACTAAGCCACTAAAAGTAGTATTTCGGCTCTGACCTTCCCGCGGTGGTACTGTGGCTGGTAGGTCCCAACTGAGCCATGACATGCGTGTGGCCCAGCCGCATCAAGCAGTGGCTTGCCAGAAAGCCAATGCTCCACGAAGTCGACTCGAAGAGCAAGCACGTCTACACCTTCGCGTACAACTGGAAGGCGGTGAAGCCACTAGGGCCCTTCACTTGCATGCAAGCCCAGATCTGCCTTTGGGGCGATCCAGATGCTACTTCGGTCATGAGAGGTAAGCCTGTATTCACGAGCAGATGTGACACTGAACAGAAGATCTTTTTTACTTTGCCGACCATCATGGCCGAGGCAATTGACAGAGACTGTTCACATATCCTCCTCGGTGACCTGTGCAGTGCAGACCCCCAGCAACACGGACTTGCACTGCCGCATGATGTACAGGCTGTTTTTGCGTGGCAACAATGGAGTTTCCTCATGATGCCCTGCACCGACCGAACTCCAGATGTACGCATCCTGGAAGCATTCTGTGGTGCCTACGCGGGTTGGCACCAAGCAGTGACACGCATCCAGCGCAAAGGTGGATTAGCCCGAGTGGTTGCAGCACTTGACGCAAATGCACAGGTAGTGGATTGCTACTCTGCCACCTTCCAAGCCATCCAAATCCCAAAGAGTGCCCCCCCGGGCATAGTGAGTGAGATTCAGCCGAGCAAGACAGTGGTTTGGGAAGCAGATGTAGGTGATACGGCTTGGAGGTTTGATGCTTCTTGCCTGCACCCGAATGTCTTCACGGTGTCAAGCCCATGCATTAGCTGGTCAGATGCAGGTAAACGTGAGGGTTTGGACTGCCCAGCTGGAGTTGCACTGTGCGACATCATTGAAGTTGCGAAATGGCAGAAGCCCCTGGTCGTGCTAATGGAGCAAGTCCCAGGGTTTGAATTGCATGAGCATTTCCCGAACGTAATACTGCTGTGGGGGTTCGAGTTTCAGCACCTCGCAGTCTGTGACATTGCTGACGTTGCTGCTTGCCATAGGAAGCGATGCCTGATCACCCTTAGGCGTAGAGATGTGCTCGATGATGCCTCTGTTTGGGTACCCTGGATTCAAAGTGGAGGTATCCACCCTGCAGCCTTTGGATCCATGGTCAAGCAACCACAAGCACTGATTCAGGATGCCACCCCTTGCCTTGAGGTCATGGAAGTGTACTGGAGTAAGGAGTTTCTCCCACGCTCCCCCTTTCCTTGCAAGAGGCCGCGTAAGTCCATTGATGAAATCCGGGTAGGCTCTACCTTCCAGCTACCCCCTACCTTCATGAAGATGTATGGATCCCAGCACACTTTGCCTGCCGAGAAGCTTCGTACCACTGGCCTCTTTGGCCAATTTGTCTGCTTTGAAGGTGAAGTTAGGTTTTGGACCCCGCCAGAAATCGCTATCTGCCAGGGAGTTGTCCACCCTTTGTGCTTTGGGCCCCAAATCCAGGTCGGATGGCAGATTGTGGGTGACTGCATCAGCCCGATCCATGCAATCTTGGCCATCGCAAATGGCCTTCAGCAAGTTGAGATGTGGAAGGATTGGGCGCCAAGGCCAGAAGCAGCTGTGATCGACCTGCTCCACCATAGGATGCGTGCAAGGAATGCCCATGTTATCTGTGTTGAAGGTCAGCCATGCCTTGTCCGTGATGCACACCCCCTGGACGCTCTCCTTTTCCAACAGACTCTTCAGTTGCAGCAGATTGCCAAGTCGCATCCCCAACCATGTGTTGTGTGGCCTGGTGAGGGGATCTTTGCCGTTTCCATGGTTAAGGATACCCTTCAATTTGACCTCATTCACCTCATCCACAATATCAGTCCGACGGCCCAATTTGCATGCTGGCTCCAAGTCGAAGTGTGCACCGCATCAGGAGCGACATGGCACCTCCAAGTTCACTGTGACGTAGGATGGGACGAACTTGCGCAACACCTAGGGTTCCATTCCTTCAGTGATGAAGGAGGCAACGTGCTCAGTGGCCAGGTGCATCAATGTGAAGCCTTTGTGGATGTGCGAGCTCCCAGTCACACAAATCATGTGGCCAGCAACCTTGTGAGTGTGAGGACACCTGCAGCTGTCTACATCATGCCATGCAATCGAAAGTTGGGCGAGCTCGAAGCAGTGAGGTGTGCACTCAACATGCATGAATGCCAACTTTGGTCTGGGCCAGTCACAGCTGATGTGCTTGGACAGCCAATCAGTTGGGTGAGTGTCGTCCCAGTTGAGCAGGTTTGGAACAGCCAAGTCCATATCACAAGGTGGACCAAGAAGCTTGCCAGAGTCAGCGTCACAGCCAAGGAATCTCCCAACCGAATTGACCTCCAGTGCCAAGGTCCTCCCCTGGAGACTGTCCTTGCAGTTAGGTTTTGGCAGAAGATCTTCACACATGAGGGCCTTGCACACCTTGGATACCAATGCCATGCTGAATCCGAACATGAGCAGGCACATGTGTCCTTCACCCACAACGACCTGTGTGTTCCAATTGCAGCTTCACAACTGCTCAGATGTCTCCAATTTGGAGCCGCGCGCGCCCTTATGCAAGGGACTGCAGCTTGTGCAGAGCCAGATCATGAGGTCGTGACAATCCGCATCAAATATTATGGCATCGTCTTGTGGAAGGGTCCAGTGTCAGCGCAAGTAACTGTAGGTTTCCTTGCCTGTGCCCACTGCATTGCATTCATGCCGGAATGCCATGGAATCATCCCCAAGTGTATGTGGGCAACGAAACGCCTGCTGCCTGAGTGGGACCTTGAGCAATGCCGCCAATCATTGCCGTTGGTTGCCCAGAGAAGTAGTGCCCTTGCAGTGTCAGTGCACTTCCCCACCCAGGGAGGAGGATCTAAGACGGACAATGCCAAAAGTGTCAAGAACACCATTGCAAGCTATCTCCTGTCGCATGGTGCACCGCTTGCAAAGGTGCACCAAACCGTTGATGCCCTGTACAAGCATGCAGGAAAAATGCGAGTGACGGCCGTGCTTGACAAGCGAGGAGATGAGGCCAAGTGGCAGGCACTGCGTGACCTTTGCTTGGAATGTGACATCACACCGCCTGAGCAAAGCACTAAAGTTGTAGCTGCGGCCACGCGCATCCAACGTGCTGTCAGGGAAAAGAAGGGAAACTATCCCCAGGTCAAGGCTCATGCCAGGGACCTTCTTGAACCAAGATGGATCGCCTGCGCCCATCCTCTGCCGCATTTTCCCAGGTGCATCAGGAGTTGTCTTCATGGACCTTGCAGAAGCCAGTACGTGGCTAGATCAGAAGGCACCCATTTCCTCTGATGAACTCGGCCTTGTAGTACCGGGTGTGAGTAAGCCAACCACGCCTAGGAAGTGCTCCAAACTCATTGTGCCTGCCCACAACACCAACCAGGAGCCGGTTCTCATCAACGCGTGGCTGATCCAGTTGGGAGCAAGCAGTGAAAGTTCATGCTAGCGGGGAGCCTGATGTCCCAGTGCCACGAACCCACACCTGTGCCATCACCCAGTACCAGGACTGCTCACAGCAGAACTGGGACGAGGTAAGAAGTAGCCCCGTCCGCAATGTGAATTCCTACATGAAGTCACAGGGCATAGAACAGCCCTTCCTAGCCGTGTGGGCCAGATCATACCGTGCCGATGGCAAGCAGACCAATGCCTCGCATGCTGACAGTGTGCAATTCCATGCTCAGATCAACTCCGATGTGCTGCACAAGATCCTGTCCTTTTCAGGTTTCCATGGCATATTTGTCACTCCCAAGGATGACGCCGGAGGCCCGGACCCCGCCTGGAAGGTAATCTGGTGTGGTAGCTCCGCTCAGGAAGCAAAGTCCCAGGCCTCCGGCCTTACCGACCAATGTGGGGTTGTGAGAAGCAAGACCAACTGGGGGGTCAGAGTCAAAACTGACCAGTTCCAGAAGGCTTTCGCCCAGCTTAGGCCGGAAACAACTGTGCCAGATTTCACAGGGACCTCCTTGTTGTACCGCATTGACGGCCTCCCTAGAGGCGTCTTGAGTGAGCACCTGAGGCAGTGGGCCCAACACCTTAAGTGGGAGATCAAACCGCTCAAGGCGCTTGGTCCGCAATCCTGGCTAGTAGGCACAGATGAGTCGCAGTCTCAGATCTTTCTGCACTTCAATGGAGCCGCACTGCTCATCAAGCCAGTGGATAAGCACAAGCCAAGGACCCAGAAAGCTCTAGTTGCGGGCAGGCCCTCGCCTGCACAGAAGGATGAAGCAGATCCATGGTTGACCAAAGACCCTTGGCAATCCTACCAGCAAGCCAAACCAGCCGCTGCGAGCCAGACACCCGCACAACCCTCCCAGAGAGCAGTGCCAGGTCCCACAGCGCAGCACCTTGACACCCAGGCCCAGAGGATCAACAAGCTTGAAGCTGAGATCCAGCAGATCAAACTGGCCAAGAAACGATCGTGCAGAATCAGACCGCACAAGCTACTCAGCAGGCCAATGCCCTGGCTAGTGTGAGGCAGGAGCTTGCTGTGAACATGCAGAAAAGCCACCATGAGCTCCACGCCGCATTCCAGAACAGCTTGATCCAAGCCAATGAGGCCCAAGAGAAACGCATGTCAGATCAGTTTGAGGAGCTTAAAACCCTCCTCATGGAAGAGCGGAACACCCGTAGGAAGAAGGGCGACCAGGACTCCTGACTATGTCCAGGAATCGGGGTCTTTTTCGGCTTGTGTCCTACCCCAAGCCCGTTGCAAACAATGTGCGCATTGCTTGCCCAATTTCGTTACCAGCAGCCTGGGGGTACTGGCTGCTCCATGCCATCTACCATACATTGTAGGAACTTAGTGCCTTGCCAGCTATCCTTATGCCAACAGACCCTTGTTTGGCTTATTGCC